TGTTTTTTTGGGATTGGCTAATTTCACTTAGCATTATCTTCTCCAGCACCATCAATTTACCTGCAAATGCCATGATTTTATTTTCTTTTATTGCTGAGTAAAATTCCATTGTGTGCATATGCCACATTTTTTTTTATCTATTCATCTACTGAAGGGCATCTAGGTTGGCTCCACAGTTTAGCTATTGTGAATTTTGCTGCTATAAACATCGATGGGGCTGTGTCCTTGTAGTATGCTGTTTTTGAGTCCTTTGAGTATATATAGACTGGTAGAGCACTTGCCTAGCATTTGCAAGGCACTGGGTCAAATGGTGGTTTCATTCCCAGATTTCCAAGGAAACTCCATACTGCTTTGTATTTTGTATTTTAAACATTAAACATTCTGTTAGAGTTACATCTGCAATTATCGACTTTTTTAATATGTAGATTCATTTTGATAAATGGAAGAAGAATTTGCATGGCAGATTCACAGCATTAAGTATCTTGAAAGCAGTTTCCCTTCTAACATATTTACCCCTTTAATAAGTGTGTTTGACTGTGTTGTCTTATAGTTACTTTAATATAAAAGATATCATGTAGATACATACTGTGTAATTTTGTAGGCTATAATTGAACCAGTTTTCTGTAGTCTGCTRCTGTGTTTTCTGATCCTTTTAGAAGTAACCTACTCCTAACATGTAAATGAATTCCAGTGACCCATTCAAATATCTTAACAAAATCTCTGGGCATTGTTAAAAAATAGCAGAATAAGGACACTTATAAAGGAAAACCTAATTAAGTTGCTAATTAATTCAGTTTCCTTTTTTAAAAAAAATCCTTCTTTTTAGTTATACATGACAGTAAAATGTATTTTGACATATCATACATACATGGAGTATAACTTCCTGTTCTTGTGGTTCTACATGATGTGGAGTTACACTGGTCATGTATTCATATATGGACATACGAAAGTTATGTCAGATTCATTTTAGTATCTTTCCCATTCCTATCCCCCTAATGAAACTCTCCCCATCCAGTGAACCTYCCCCCATCCAGTGAACCTTCATTCCTTCCTCTGCCCTTTTTAAAAGGTGCATTAGCATGGATTAAAATGAGGCTCAGAATGTTTGTGATTCTACAATGACAATAGTTAATTTTGTTTATGATATCTTCATTGGCTAGGATTTAATGTATACTTCATGATCATTTCCTCTTTTTAGTTTCTGAGTGTATATTCTTTCCTCATTTGAATTTAGTTTTTTATTATCATTGTTTGTGTTTTTCTTACCTTAGAGCAGTGGTTCTTGAAACAGTTTCATAATAATCCTATGACATTATTGGATTTTTAACTGTGCTGACATTTGCATTGCTTGTACAGAGGCAGGGGTTAATAAAATTGCTGTCTGCCTTAGTGTGATTCAAGACAGTACACCAGACTGTACTGGTAGTCATTATATTCTTCACTACCATCCACYCAGAGTACACAAAAACCAAAATGAATGTCAGTTTTACTGAAAAACTTTCTTTATATATTAGGAAAAATTTAATATTAATGAACTTTAACTCTTGAGTGTATGTCTCTTTAGTATTCCATGAAACAAAAGAGAATAAAAACACTTCTGCACGCAGAAGGATGTTGACTATCTCAAGGAAAAGAAGATGCATTTGATTGAGTTGTGAGCTGAACTAGTTGCTTTTTTAAGAAGGTTATTTTTACTTGACAGAATGCTGTCATTCAGATTTGGATATGTGGTAGACACTTCAGCAAAACAACTTCAAGTAAAATCAACTAGTAATATTTSTTGCTAATGATAAAATTTGAGCTTTTTGAGGAGAAATTAGAATTTTAGAAAACTTGTATTTGTCACCTTGAGCTGGGCAGCTTCCCAGTCTTTAAAGACTTTCTGATGAGATTTGATCTTAACAAATGTGACTTCTGATGTTAAGTAATGAAATGATTCAATATTTGGAAGATTTGCCTAATTCGGTTAAGCAAAATTCTGTATTAACAATGAATGATAAAAGGTCATTAATGTGTAAAAGGCTCATTTAAAATGTAAGATGGGCCATTGATTTTTTTTTTGAGGAAAAATTCATTTACAAGGTTTCATATTCCATGATGGATCTACCTTTGACAAACTGCCATTTGTTGAATTTTGATGTCATGTTCGTAGATATGAAAAGGCCTTGAAAATACTCTTCCCTTTTCTGGTTGTATATCTGTAGTTAAATCAGACTTTAATCATATACTTCTCCAAAACCACATACCTCAACAGTTTAAAGACAGAAGGTGGTATGTGAATCCAGCTGTCTTCTACTAAGCCAGATATTAAAGGGATTTGTAAGAAAGTAAAGTGATTATGAGTCTTTGTACTAAAATTGCTTGGAAATATGTAATTATTTTTCTTAACTATATGCTATCTATGTGATGATGAAATGGTTTGTTGATTTTAATTGAATTAACAAAAATATTTTAAAAAATTCTCAATTTCTGTTATGGTAAATATCAACAGTTATAATCCATATAAACGAAAAGCGCTTTAGAATCTTTAGGTTTTAAGTGTGACAAAGGGTTCCAAGATCAAGATATTTGGGAACTACTTTAGAGTATGATTGAGAATCATCATTTACTGTTCATCAGATTTATTAGACTATTTCTTTAAAGAGCTGTGCAGTGCTCAGCTTAGTTTTGAACCCATTTGGAAAGGTCTAACATGGTGCATCTAACATTGGATCAAAAACAGAACATAGGGCTAGAACAAATGTGTAACTAGAAAGACAACAAGTTAGATCTGAAGAGAATCAGAATCTGTCTCTAAAGGCAATTCTAGCCAAATGAAATTGTTTTTGGGGGGGCTATTCTGATTTGTTGTTTTTCAAATGGTATTTCTCATAAATAAACTCAGTATGTTTAATTTATGACTGGAATAAAATTAGGGACTGTCCTTGTGGCAGAAAACGATGATATTAGAACTGTCCGGATTCTTTTTTTTTTTTTTTTAAGAGAGGAGAGAGAGAGAGAGAGAGGGAGGGAGGGGGGGGGGGGGGGGGGGGGGGGGGGGGGGGGGGGAGAGAGGGGGGAGAGAGAGAGAGAGAGAGAGAGAGAGAGAGCGCGAGCGAGAATTTTTTAATATTGATTTTTTAGTTTTTGGTGGACACAACATCTTTATTTTATTTTTATGTGGTGCTTAGGATCGAACCCAGCGCTCTGCGCATGCCAGGCAAGCACGCAACTGCTTGAGCCACATCCCCAGCCCTAGATTCTTTTATATATTTATTAAATATTTTTTTCTTGAAACTCAGGTTTTAGTCTTGTAATTAGAATTTGATTCTTAACTTTACAGTAGAGAAGTTTGCAGGTATAAAGAACAAATTGGAAATTTCAAGCTAAATTTCACATGTATTCTCTGAAATTTAAATAATATTGAGTTTGTATTTTATTAGAATGTTCAAGTATAGATTTTAAAAATTCATTTGAACAGGTATATATTGTGTACTTTATGCCCAGACATTAATTAATTCCTGTCCTAAAGGAAGCTTCCTGCCTGGTGGCAAGAGAATTGTGCAGATGCTTCAAATACAGTGTAATCATTGTTTATTGGAATTTTATATAAGATGCAGATCCTAGAGCTGCTTTGAGGAGTTTAAAAGGTTTCATAATAAGCAGCAGAGCTGGACCKGAGATTTGGAAACCTAGAAGTTTGCCTAGTAAAAAAGTTCAGGAAAGGCAGCCCAAGTTTAGGGAACCATGTGTAGAAAGGCATTAGGCATTAGAAAGTATGGCTTGTTTTGGAAAGTTGAAGTAGTATTTTGGTAGTTTCTAGTGCAAGGATGAATGGCAGGACCTTTTGTGCCATGCAGATACTTTTTGATTTTATCTGGCTGGCTTCAGAGAGCCTCTAAACGATTTTGAAGATGGGATTAACAATCTGTGAGTAATATTTTAGAAGACATTCTGGTAGCAGTGTGGATGGACCTTAAATAGGAGATAAGGATGGAGATTAGAGGACAGGAGACCATTCAGAGACTGCCTCAGAGTTCTAGAGATGATGCCTAGTAGGCAATTGAATATAAAGATTTGGAAATTGGGTAAGACAGGTGTTGGATAACACCAAAATACACTGAGGCAGTGCCAAATAAAAAGAGGATATAATTTTAAAGTAATAACAACTAATTTAAAAACAGTTCAATGTATAGTTTATGCTCTTATATTTTTTGTATCTTTAACTAATTAAATAATTTTGTTTTTGAAGTATAGCATCCAGAGGAGTTCATCTGTTGGCAACATACTCATTCATTTCATTTATGTTCCTTTTGTCATTATTACATTTCCAATATTTTGATTACAGACTCAAATTGAAATGAAACTTCATATTGTAAAGTTATATATATTACAGAGATCATTGCAAATGGATAGTTTATCCAGTTTTTTTWATAATTTCACCTGCCAAATTATTTTGTAGATTAAAGTAGGTTATTCTTTACTGAAGAATGTTTTTCTAGACCAAAGAAAGTTTGTGAATCTGTGTTTGTATTAAAATAATAGATCAGTTTAGAATAAGGTAAAGTAAGTTGTACCAGAATTTGCTCTCAGGAAGAATTCTCTTATTTTCTTTTCTGTCCTCTTGTCTGCTAACATGAATTTTATCCTTTTCTCACTAAAATGCTTCCACTGAGAAGGACGTAAGCGTAAAAAGCACAAAAAACATTTTAAGAAACGTTTTAAAGGTCTTGATCGCTCAAAAGGTAGGTAAAAGTAGTTTTTATGCCATGTGTTGTTTATACACACTGCCACTTGATTTCTGTTTTGGAAGGCAAAATTAATGTTAGATTACAGTTTAACTTCAAAAGTAAGTTTTAAGTTGAAAATGCATATTAAAATCTAAAATCTAAAAAAAAAAATAAAGACACCAGAATAGGCATAATTTCCATTGAGTAGTATCCTAGCTCTCCTTTGGTCATTGCTTTTAACGTATGTGTGAATTTCAATTCTTGAGCTTGTATTTTTCTATTTTTTAACAGATAAGCCAAAAGAAGCCAAAAAGGATACATTTTTGGAAAAATTGGCAACGCAAGTAATAAAAAATGTACAAGTAAAAATCACAGATATTCACATTAAATATGAAGATGATGTAAGTTTTTTCAGATTATTTGGTTTAAGATAGTAATTAGATATAATATTTAATGATTTTCTTCATTTTTAATATAGGGATTACTTGTACCCAATTTAAATCTAAGATTGATTTTTGTCTTTGAAGTATGTTATCATATCTCCTGTGGTGGGCTGCTTTTATTTGCCATCTCCAGATGTAAATATAGCATAAAATTATCATGTGGATTGACCTCTATTTTTTTTTTTAAAATTTGTTTTATGTGTTAATAATACTTATAACGTTAAATAACTACTTTTCTTTTTATATTGACAATAAAATTAGTTCCAAAAGGTGATGAAATAATCAGTGGTCATGGTAGTTGGCAGAAAGGGTTCTAAAACCCTCCTCACTTGACTACAGTCTTGTTCTCTTTACATTTCATATAGTTGAACTACTCACAGCTACTTACAATATATTTAGAAACCAAACTTTACTTAAAACCAAAGGTTAATATCAGTTGATTAATAATGATTAGTTTAGTTAAAATGAGATCCCTTGATCTTAATATGTATTGTTCTTTAAAAGTTTGAAACATATGAAAGAAGCCTTGAATTTTGTCATTGACTTAGGAAATTAGAAATGTTATTCCATCTCTTCTAAAAATGAATTTGCATTTTTATATTAAATTTGTCTTAAGTTTGAATTGAATTAAAGCAGTGTGGACATACTAGAGTTTATTTTCCTTCCCTAGTCCTCTGTATAACTTAGTGTTTAGTAAGACAAACTTGTAGTTTTTTTTTAAATTATATTTTATATTGATATTATCTTTTTGGTTTTAAGGTGTTATTAAAGTGAATTTCGTTAACAAACATTTAACAGAAATCTAACTTCTAACGTCCATGTTCATAACAAACTCAGGAAAATGTGCTCAGCACATCATGGAAGTAAAAGAATTATTGCTGAAACTATGTGGAGAAATGGGGACCCTTATACAATGTTGGTGGGAATATAAATTATACCTAATTTTGGAAAACTGTGGAGGTTTCCTTCAAAAATGAAAAATAGAATTACCATAAGATACAGCAGTTCTGTTTCTGGGTATATATTAAAAGAAATTGAAATAAGTATTTGGAAGAGATGTCAGCAGTTACATATTTATTCTAGTGCTATTCATAGTAGCCAAGATATGGGAGCAACTGAAGTGCCTCTAAATGGATAAAGGGAATGTTGTACACAGGAAATACTGTTCAGCCTTAAAAAAAGAAGGCAGTTTTATCATTTGCAGCAACATGGATGGAACTGGAAATCATTACATTAAATGAAATACGCTGTATTGAAAGACAAATACTGCAAGATATATGGAATCTAAAAAAACTGAACTCATAGAAGTAGAGAGTGAAAGGATGGTTTTCAGAAATTGGGGACAGAAAGAGAAGAGGTGGGTCGGAGCCGGGTACAGAGGTTTGGTTAGATAGGAGGACTAAGTTCTGGTATTCTGTTGTACTGTAAGTTTATTATAGTTAATAATAACAATGTATATTTCAAAATTATAAGAATAGATTTTAAATGTTCTCATCATAAATAAACGGTAAGAATATGAAGTGGTAGGTATGTTAGTTACTTCGATTCTTACATATTATACTCCATAAATATGTAATTTTTATTTGTCAATTAAAAAACAAAAACCTCCTAATGACATATTAGTGAATGGGAACATTAATTTGAATCTAAACTGAGCTGTCTCCTGACTAAATACAATTAGAAAGGTACATTATTTCTTTCTATTTAATTAAAAAATAGAGATGCACAAGAGTGGGATAAGTATCATCAATCATTTAAATTGCTGTCAGTGACCAAATGTATTAAAATAATTTAAAAGTAATGAAATTAGAAAAAATGATTCTTGTATTTTCTTTCTTTCAATGTGATCACCTTAATTATTGTATCTAGAAGGCTATGAGAAATATAGAATGTAAGACATGGGAAAAATAAAATAATTTATCATAAAGATGCTCATTAAATAATTGCTGTAATTTTTTTATACCTTTATTTTATTTATTTATTTTTATGTGGTGCTGAGGATCAAACCTAGTGCCTCACACATGCAAGGCAAGCTCTCTACCTTTGAGCCACAATCCCAGCCCCTAATTGCTGTAATTTTTAGGTAGTATATTAGCAACTGTGGAGTTGGGATTTGTTAAAGTTCCTTCTAAAATTGCAGCAAGTTGTTTTGAACCAGTCATCTTTTGGTGTAAAGATGAGTGTAGGAAAAAAGGAAAATGGTTTGCTACAAATCCAGAGATCTGATATTAATGACAAAATCAGGCTCATAAAGCTGTAGTCCTTTTTCCTTAAGCCAGTGTGTATGTGCACACATCCTCTTTGACAAAGGTCCATGTGACAAAATTTGAGCCCCAGGTGGATAGTTTAGAAAGCTATTCTTCCTCTCACCCTACTTTTCCAAATTTCTGTCAGAAGCAGATAGTTCTATGGCTTGAGCATCTTTGGGATGGCTCAGGCAGTAAGCTGGACACACTGTGGTAGTTTAAGTAGTATGTATAAACAAAGCCATGGTACTGAAGATCAGAAACAACAGCAGCTTCACATTGGTAGGTTTTGGGTGAAGTGATTGAGGAAATTAAATATTACAATCTAAGAGTTTTTCGTAATAAAACATTTTTGAAATTTMCAGAAATTAAAGGTTTAAAAAGACAGTTCACATTTCCAAGTGTGAACATCTTAAATGTTTTAAAAATTATTTAGAGGCAGTGTTATCTGTAGCACCTTGTTTTATGTATGAAGGACATCTTTAATGAGATAGAAGGACTGTCCTCTTTCAGCTATCTAGAGAAGAGTCTCTTTAGTCATAGTTACTGTATCCTCTTATTTTTTGTAAGAAAAAGACCTCCACTGGAGAATACTATTTTAGTATTGTACCTATAAAATATTGATAATGTCACCCATATTATTCTTTCCTCTCCTTTCTTTTCCACACGTACAGTTGGATTGTATGACTTGTTTGTAAACAGTTCCTTCTGCTGACTATTGTAAAGGGTAGAGCRTGGATTTGTCCTCACCATCGGTATATTTAAGTGTCCCTTTTCTTTGGTAGGTCACTGATCCAGAGCGGCCTCTTTCATTTGGTGTCACATTGGGAGAATTTAGTCTATTGGTAAGGAACGTGTAAATTATTATTTCAGAGTTACAAGCTGAATTGCCTAGAATCAAATATTACCACAGATAGATGTTATAATTAAAAAAATTCTAGCCGTTGATGGATCTTTGTTTTATGTATGTATGTATGTATGTATGTGTGGTGCTGAAAATCAAAYCCAGTGCCTCACATGTACTCTATCACTGAGCCACAACCCCAGCCCAGATATTAAAAATTTTATGAGTTATCTTGCTGTAGCTTTCTAAAAGTTTAACATTTTTAGTGATGCTGTTGCTACATTTTCTAATTATTTTGTCTTTCATTAACATCAAAATATCAATATCAAATTATTTGAAAGGAATAAAACCTGTAATCTAAATATGTGAGAAAAGTTGGGTTAGACAAATTACTATTGAATTATGTACTCATACTTGGTATTGGAGGGTGGTATAAGTGGAATACACCCCCCAAATAGCTTATACAAGTATAGGTGTGTGTGTGTGTGTGTGTGTGTGTGTGTGTGTGTGTGTTATGTGGGGTTGTATGTAAAGTTATTCATTTTGATAAAGTATTTTATAATGCAGTTTGCTTTTTCTCTTAAAGTTCTTATGGGTAGAGAGTTATTCATATGAAGAATGGACATTCTTTTCATTATAGGCAATTAAATGATGAAAAACATGTTTTGGGACATATAAATGAAGGAACATATAGCTAGATTAGGTTTTTCTATGGAGGAAAAATGTGGTTCACTTAAATACTTTCAAAGTTAAGGGTAGTGAGCAATAAATCATACTGCTCACAGTTTGCCTGATGATTGGTTAAATGCAGAACGTTTCAGGAAGACATGAGAGGAAGAAAAATGGAAAGGTGGTGAACTGGCAGAGAAGCACAAGGACAGAATTAGGTGGCAACCTTATGAATTATATGTGCATATAGAGAAGTACAGATTGATGTTGAGGCAAGAGCAACAAAGAAAAAGAGAGAAACAAAACAAAGGGAGTCAGGAAGCTAGTGTTTCGGATACTGTTTATCCAAAAAGCACTTGAAGTAGCTTTTGATAAGGCATAGAAATATACAGTAATATCTCATAAAAGACCAGAATCTGAGTTCTGTGGTGATTGTTCCAGAAAACTTAGTCTAACAATAGTGGCCACAGGTGAGAACAGTATTTAACTTCAGGTGTCTAACAGACAAAATAAAAAGTACAAAATAACATGTACTTCCTGTAGTCTAATGGACAGAGTAGTGTGTGAGTGTAGTTTCCATAGAGTGTGCTGTTGTGCTCTCTGTGTCTTTGCTTAGGCTCTTTGTACTGTTTTATTTGCCTGTTTTATTCTCTTTGTCTGCTTAGTGAATCTACTCAGGTTTTAATGCGTATATAAGGTATTCTCTTGTCKCTCTCATTCTGTTTTTTTTTTTGTTGTTGTTGTTGTTCTCTCTTAGAATTTACCATTCCTTTTTTTTTATGCTCCCCATTGCATTTTGTAAAAGACCTATAACGTACTGTTATACTGGTTATATGTATGTTGATCTCTTTCTAGGCTACATTTATTTAATGATACAGTAGTACCTACATTTTAGTGTTTTTATGATGATTAAATGAGGTACTTTATGTGTAACACTTGTTACATTTTTTTTGGCTAAGGTAATTCCTGCTTCAAATACTATTTGAAATAGCCACTTCAAGTACAAGTGATTATTATAATGACAATAACAGCAAACCTTCTACCTGCTTTTTATCCATGCCTTTCTTTCCCCCCATTTTTCCAAGTACAATCTAACTTTTTAAAATCTAAAGTATTCTTCCCACCTCTTCTCAGGATCTCATCGTCTCCCTTATCCTCAAGAATCTATTCCTTCTTTCCTTCCTCCTTCTTTGCATCAATCTCCCTCTCAGGACATTTCCTGAGTATTCAACTAACACTCTCTCCTACCCTCCCTGACTCTCCCCTCAGACTCCTTCTTGTAAGCATTTAAACACATTCAGATGTCTTCTGACACAATAAAAAGTCTTAACCATCCCTTACCTCTCACAAGCTGTGTAACTACTGCCTTCCCTTTCTCTGCAGTCAGACCTTTTGAGAGTTTTCTACTTGTGCTAGCTTCTTTCCCCACTTCCCAATGATTCTCCCGCTGCTCCTCCACAGAAACCATTGTTAGCAAGTTCATTAGTAATGCCCCTGCTGTTAAATAAGTCAGTATTGGCCTTGCCACCTTCAGTGTCTTCTGGAAACATGGTTGTGCTGATTTCCATACTGTCTTCCTACTTTACAGTCACTTTTTTTTTTTTAATAATGTGTACCTTCTTACTAGTTCTAGTTCTCTGTTTTAATTCATATCCAGTTCTTTCCACAGTTCAGGCACATAGTAGCCCAATAATTATTTTCTGAATGAATAAACTTTATTAAATTAGAACATCCTCAATTCTGTTTTTCATTGTCCTTTTGATTTGCTATGTAAATAGATAAAGAAGCCCCTAACTTTAGTAACATTTGTTAATAGATGTCTTTTATGCCTACATTATTTTGCTAATCTTTACAAATAATAGAAAATTGTTGTGTGACATATCACATTTCACAGTTATTTTGTGTGTGTGTTTTTTTAGACTACAAATGAACACTGGACTCCATGCATATTAAATGAAGCAGAAAAAATTATATACAAGGTATTATATTATCATTAGAATGTACATTTCTTTTTAGTTTCCTGGCTATAAGTACTTGATATATTTTCTTGAAGAAACTTTGGTGAAACAGAATTTGCCATTGATGTGAATTAAGCCTAGAGTCTAGTTTTGGCTCTGCTTCATACTAACTATATGACCTAATATAATTGTTTACATACTCTGAAGTTTAGGTTCTTCACCTAACAAGTGAAGAAACTGGATAAAATATTTCTCAGTGGAATTTTAAGAAGCAACAAGTAATTGAGATATTCTGAGATGTTACAGAAAAAATATCCTCCTGTTATTACTTATTAAAGTTCTAAGCTAAACATATTAAACAGGTGTATTTCAGTTTGTTTTAAACTACAAGACTTATAGTACTTTAAATATGCTAATAACACTGTGTATCTCCAATAAGGATCTGTATTTAATCCGTAGCTTTTTCTATCTTGTTAATCATGGAATCTCCTCCAGCATCCTCCTCTGGAAATAGCCATTGGTATTTGCTGGAGGGATCATGTCTTTCTTTTTAAATAAAATATTTATCAGGTCTGTTAAATGCTAAATTCCCAATAAATATTTGATAATTGAATCTCTTGGAAATTGTGCTCTTGGAAGTCCAATTTAGCAAATAGTAAACTTACAAATAAAGTCTATGTATATATTTTTCCTCATTTTTGCATTACTTTATTTCCTTTAAAAGTTGAAAGTTGCAGCTGGGTAATTCTGGAGTAGTGAACATGAGAATAATCTTATGTTGATTTATGATTTCATTTTGTTTGTTGCTTTGACCTCTTTCGTTTTTGTTTTATAGCTTATACGGCTGGATAGTCTTAGTGCTTACTGGAATGTAAACTGCTGCATGTCTTACCATGGATCAAGGGAGCAGATCTTGGTAATTTCAAATCATTCCTGGAAAAATAACCTACATTCTCTAAGTATGTTTAATAAAACAGGTTCTTGGTGACGACAGAATACCAGTCATTTGTTTAACTGGTACATCACTAAATGTGAAAAACATTTTTTGAAATTCACTATGTGTCTTCAAAAAAACACTTTTGATTTTGAGGGTATTTGCAAAATCATTCAGTAGATGGTGATGTGAGAATCAAGGTTAAAACTTCATTATGGTCTTTTGATGGTATTCCTGTTACATCGAGGTATTTCATATGAGAATGATTAAGAATATTAATAAGAAAGAAGGTAACTTTCAGATCTAAAGCATATATCCTTGGCCAGTATTTTTAGCATTTGTGATGGTTTCCTGAAAAGTGAGAGATTAATTCAGTGCTTCAGTGTGCTAAGCCAATCTTAATTATGTTTCTTTACTTAGGGGAGAAAGGAATACCAGTTAAATTTTCTGAACTGGTAAATTTCAAGGCTCTATCTCTTAAAGATATAAAAGAGATAATTTGCTTTTGAATGTATTTGCATTTGTTTCCAAAGATGTAGAGGAACATAGTATTATGATGTTTCTGGATATTTAGAATSTTTAAAAATTATCTGCTTCTTTATCTTTATACTAAAAAATATACCTGTAAATAATGTTTGTATTTTTCTCATGAACTCATAGTTACAAAGAAGAATCAGATACCCATGTAAGAACCAAATTGTTTTCTGTTATGTGTCACTGCATATGTGTACATTTTATTTTTCATTTAATTCRGATTTTTTTGTTTAGGATCAGTTGAAAAATGAAATTCTTACCAGTAGAAATATACCCCGGAACCATCAATATAGTAAGTAATGATTATAATTTATTTCATATTATAGGAACAAACATGTAATTAAATACTTTAACATACCTTTTAAAAAATTACTTTGACAAATAGAGCATGTTAATTTTATACCTTACTGTTACGATACAACATATTTGGATTACAACTAATTATTTGGGCCTAGACCATAATATGGATGCCAGTGGAAAATGGGAGGGATGGGCAGTGTAGCTGTAGTTCACTCTGTGCAGCCAGCCTTCTTTGACCAGCATTTTTTCTTCCTGGCTTAAAACTGAATTATTTTTGTTTTAGGGTTTTACTCTGTACCCATCTTTTTTGCTTCCTTTCCTCCTTTCCTTCTTTAAAAGCCTCTGAGGTCTGGGTATTCAGAAAAATAACCTACATTCTCTAAGTGTGGTGAATAAAAACGGTTCTTAATGACGATGGGATACCACTCATTTGTTTCGCTAACTCAGAAGTGTGAAAAACATTTTTTGAAATCCCTAGCATATCACTGTTGTGGTGTTAAAATAAACCAACCACTCTAGACATTGTTTTAAGTGAACTAGTTTTTTCTGTTTCTTGGCAGCCTCACTTTTATTTTAGAAATAGGTCTCTGAGAAACCTGCCTGCTTGTTTACTTCTGTATCCAATTTTTCCCCCCATTTCAGTTTCATTCTAAAGCTATCAGTTTGCTCTTATTTAGTGTACTCCTTTATGATTGCCCTCAGCTTTTGTATTCATATCCTTTCATATTCCATATTATTCTCTTCACTATTGTTTTCTTCAGGTTCTGTTGTAGTTAATTGCCATTGGATGCTGGGACTTAGAGTCTCTGTTTATAGACTTCTCTATTTAATAACAAATGTTTTCAAGTACTGAAAGTTTGTGAGAACATTTAGTTTCATCAATAAAAGAACTAGTTCAGAAAAATCTACAACTTTATTCTTAGGTTTTTATAAATAGCCTGTTAGTTAAGTTGTTTATACACGATGAAAATTGTAATTATCATACATGGTCACAACTTACATAGTTTTAAGGCTGTCCGGTTAGAATTTATTACCATACTTTGCTCTATCATCTACCTTAATATACCTTTTTATATGACTACTCAATTCAAGAATATTTTCTTTTGTTAACTCTAAGATTATATATGTAATGACCATTTTGAGAATCATGAAGTGGTGAGTAACATTTTTCCTGGGATGATTTTATTTACGATTCTGTTCCAAAATTCTGCCACTGATTATTTAATTACATTTTATTTCCTTCCCTATATTGGTATTTTTAATGAATAATAAAGTCATTAAACATCTTATAGCAAGGAAGAGAAACCTAATTTTATACAGATTAGCTGTGTTTTGAACATTTCTTAACTAGAAATATAGGATTCCAATTTCTTTGCAGATTCTACTTTAATCATAGAGCTTGGCAGTTGGTAGTATGCAGATGAGTAGGGGCGTAAATATTTTTGCTAGTGATTTTGTTATATATACATATGTATGTTTATTTATTTCAGAGTTCTCATAATTATTTACAGTAATTTTTATGCAAGAGCATATAAACATCTTATTTAAGTCTTCCCATGTGATTTAAGTTTTCCAGCCAATATCTGCCTCTGCGAAACTTTACATGAATCCTTATGCAGAAATAGAACTCAAAACACCCAAACTGGATTGCAACATAGAAGTCCAAAATATTGCCATTGAACTAACTAAGCCCCAGGTAAGATTCAAGGGGACACTTTTAGCTTTGATTAGTCTTATTGAGTCTTGATTGCTTTTATCCTTTGCAGTTGTTCTTTCTCTATAATTGTCTGGTGGTTCTTGTGGTTCATTATGTTGAGATTGGAAGCTTCAAAAAAATTTTTTTAAAGGAAAAAAACCTTCAAATTTAAGAAATATTTTTCTTTATCTGATCTTTTCCTAAATCTTAGAAATTGTATCAAACTAGACAATGGAAATGACATTATTTCCATTTAATTCACAGTTGGTAGAACATTTTAATGTGTTTTTTTCCTTCACAGTTTTTAATAGCAGACACTGTTTATATTAAATATTGTTTCTTTATTTTTAGAACAGCTATGAGGGCAACTCTTTCCTCCATGTGTTTCCCAAGTGTGGTTATATGCCCAGAGGGTTTGGATAGCACACTTGAAAAAATAAACTGAAAGGAAGACTGGAGATTTCACTAATGGCAATTTTAGCCCAGGGCTGTCCAATAAATACAATGAAGTTTGCTTTTGTAATTTTAGATTTTCTAGTAGTTATATTAGCAAAATAAAAAGAAAATTATGAAATTAACTTTAATGATCCATCTTATTTAACCTATCATTTCCAAAATATCATTTCAAAATGTTATCAACATAGAAAATTATGATGATGTCATATCTTTCCCTCCCCTTAAGTCTAAAAATCTATGATATATTTTACACTTTAAGTACATTTAAGTTCAGACTAGACATATTTCAAGCACTGAAGGGTCACATTTATAGGTAATCCTTAGAATTGCATTAGGAAAAATGAGAGAGGAAGAAGCTAGACTTGCATGTTTCTCTAGCCTGAAGACATGTTATCCACTCTTATGCCTGTATTTCGCTTCAGGTGAATTGTTTGTGGGATCCACACAGTGTTGCTGAATTAGTGGGTGAGATGGGCAATTAAATAGCTTTATCTTTTCAATWGTTTTCTAAAGCATTTTGAAAATCAACTCTTACATGGCTATTACTGAAATGATGTACCAATGGAAAAACACGTTATTTTAAAAATATTATTTCATATTAGTAGTTACAGGCAGAATATCTCATTATTTTTGAGTATATTTTACATTTTAACATATCTAAAAGTAGGATATTTATTGTTGGTGATGTGAAAGTTTAATCGGCAACACTTTTTTTGTAGTGAAGTCTAAAAATTATGTTACAGTGTATAAATGATATTATCTTAAATTTTATTAAATATAGTGTATTATTTTATTTTGATATCAGAGGCTGAACCCAGAGGTGCTCAACCACTGAGCCTCATCCCCAGCCCTTTTTTATTTTTTATTTTGAGACAGGGTCTCTCTAAGTTGCTTAGGGTCTTGCTAAGATGCTGAGGCTGGCTTTGAACTTGTGATCCTCCTGCATCAGCCTCTGGAGCTACTGGGATTACAGAGATGTTCCAATAATAGTGTACTTTTGACAATATAGTGCATTTTTGAGTTACCTGGCAACATTGTTTTGGAATCTTGGTAGACTGAAAAATAGAATAAAATCTGGTCTTTATTCATATGTGCAATGTAAAAATATAATTCTATTTTTGTTTTAATAGTACTTAAGTATGATTGACCTTTTGGAGTCAGTGGATTATATGGTTAGAAATGCCCCTTACAGGAAATACAAACCTTATTTACCACTTCATACCAACAGTCGACAGTGGTAAGTTAGATTTTGTTTATTAAATTAAGAGACCTTTAAAACCATGTAGTCTAGCCACTTTTAAAAAGGAACAGATAGAAGGAGATGTCTTTGTTAATCTTTTCCTAAACACATCCTCTTGTATTCTTGCTCCTAGATTTCCAAATTTTAACTTAGCATTCAGGACTTTCAGTGTTTCAAAAAAATCTTATTAGGCATCAACAAGGACTCAGTATGATAAACATGCTGGCATACAGTCATGTGTACTYTAACATTAGGATATATTGTGAAAAATGCAACCCTAAGTGATTTTGTTGTTGTGTGACTATCAGGAGTGTACTTTTACATGAACTAAATCACTTGTGATGTCTCTAGGTGATAACAATCGTGGGACCACCAGGGTTAATATGGTCTGTTGCTTACCAAAAAGTTACTCCACAGAACCTGACTGTACTGATTTCCATGGTATATGTCATTTTGTGCCTTTATGATTTTGCTTTGCCATATTGCCTTCCTGGAGGGTTTTTTAATTTAATCTATTTGAAAATTTATTGAGGACTGGCACTGTTATACTGAGCTCTTAGTGAAAGATAGTAAAGAAGAACAAAAATTTTAACAGTGTAGGAAGATAGGAGAGAAAAAATAAGGGGGAGAGAGAAGGGAGAAACTGTTTCTCTGCTCTTTCTTAAAACTTTAAATGGCTACTAATAAATTTTGATTTTCAGGTGGAAATATGCAATTAATTCTGTTCTTGAAGTTCACATAAGAAGATATACACGAATGTGGTCATGGAGTAACATAAAAAAACACAGGGAGTTGCTTCAGAGTTATAAAACTGTCTACAGAAGCAAGCTAACCCAGACCAAAGTATCAGAAGAAATACAGAAACAAATTCAGGTATAGTTTACATATAGTAGAGAGAGTTATTTTAAAACTCACCCTTTAATATTAATTTTAATGAGTATATAATTTTAAAAAGAACAGAACTCATCTCTTTGAGAGAGAATTTTATAAGAAAATGTATTTATTCTTTTAAACTATCCCCCCTTCTAATAACAAGTAAAATAAAATTATTGCAACCAGTATGAGGAAATGTGTCTGTTTTTTATTATAATACTTAGAAGATAATTATCAAACCTATTTAACTATATGTTTATTAGCTATTTATGTCTGGTTTGTTAGTGAAAGTGCCATAGTCAGATGGTAGTAACTTTCTTAAGAGTTCTGAGTCTTACTAAAAAATAGCCTTTTCTCCATGAAAAAGGAGTTGTCTTAGTTACCCCCTATTAAAAGAAAACACACTCCAAGTACATAATTTGCTTAATATCATCTGATTTAGATTATAGAAGTTTCTGCCTCTGATTCATAATGTGAAGAATGAATTGAATTCCTATTATTCTGAGATATTTGACAGTCACTAATATGATATATTAGGAAAAAAACCATGAGATTGAAGTCAAGTATTTGGATATTTATCCAGTGTTCTGCTCATGGACACAAATTTCTTACCCTCTCAAGTCCAGTGTTCTCGTACATAAAATGGAAATAATATCTGTTCTACAGAGTTGTAAGAATTACAATAGAAAAATACATGAATCACCAGGAATACAGGTTATCTATTAGATGTTAGATTTTACCTACACACTTTCATATAAATTCTGCAAATCATTTTCTCCCTTAGTCTACTTATTAACTTGGAGAATTTGCATCCTTAAATTTTGTGTTTTATAATGATACCTTTAGTACAATGGTTACAAAATAATATACAGTATGGGAGAGTAAGAAGGAAGAATCATAAAGTTAATAGTAAAACAAATCACCTTAAATAATCTTGTTTCCATGTGCATTTTTGGATATCTATGAATTGCAGTGGTCCCACAGAAAAATTCTGTATGTAATGAGGACTTACTTTCTTGGAAAATTCATTTCTGTTATTGTATAAATTAAAAAATTTAAAAACCTCATGTACATTTCAATTTATACTCTCATTGCATCACAAGTACTAATAACGGACTAGATGAACCTCAAAATCAAAGAAGAAAATAATTTTTCATCTGTTGAGTATTTTCTTTGTTTGAAATTGTCTCTTTCTCTTATAGGACTTGGAGAAGACTCTAGATGTTTTTAACATAATTTTAGCAAGGCAACAAGCACAAGTTGAGGTAATCAGTTTTATTAGTTGATTTATGTTAATATCATTCCTTTCATCCTAGGATAAAGAAGTCTAAGTTTTATGGGAAGCAGTGGGAATGCATATGGGAATAGAGATTAAAGTTTTTTTTGCTTACTTTAGTCTCATGAAAAAACTAAGTGGGAGTACTGGTAAAAATCAATAATATGAAGGGGGAAATCTTTAAAATGTTTATAACTAAAATTTTGAAAAACCTCAAAAACAAAGTAAATACAAGTCACTTTTCATCCTGCCAACATTTTTACTTGTAGACTTTCAAGTTTTTTTCCCATATCTACTTACTTTGGCCTTTTATTACCTATTGCTTTCATTTTTTCTTTTGTTTTCCCTTCTTTCTTCTTTTCTCCTTTTGCCCCTATTATTTCTTCTCTTTTATTTTCCTTTGTTCTCTTTCTTCCCCAAATTGGAATTGATCTGTTTATAATGGTTCATAGTTGCTTATTAATTGGTACATTGTCCCATGTCATTTCTGGATTTTCTTGGTACTAAAAATAAATGACATATTCATACATCTCATCATAGAAAAGTTAGAAAGTATATAGATCAACAGAAGAAAATAGAAACGCTTATTATCACAATATTACTTTACACACAGAAGGTAATTGGTCTTCAGATCTTTCTGTGTATCCTGTGAGTCTTTTTATAGAGAAAAAATTTTACCTTAGAAAAATTTTACTTGAAATTTTAACTATATTGCTAATATAGTGCAACCTTGTCAAAATGCTRTCAATAGGTATAGAATGGAAATTAATAGGGGGACTGTAAATTATCCTAATCATACCCATGAGCATTGTTTAAGAAGGAATTGACTTTCTTGACTGTTTCACTCTAATGTTGTGATAAAAAATTGACTGTTGATGTACCTGAAACTGAAGAGGGAATTTATCCTTGAATCCATTTTTAATTTTTTTTTTTTTAGGTGATTCGGTCAGGACAAAAATTAAGGAAAAAATCTGACACAGGCGAGAAACGTGGAGGCTGGTTTAGTGGGTTTTGGGGCAAAAAGGAGTCTAAGAAAAAAGATGAAGAATCATTAATTCCTGAAAGTAAGTTCTAAGTCAGGTAATTTGTTGTAATCGAGTAAAAAACACCAAACCAAAACAACAACAACAACAACAACAACAACAACAACAAAATATGCACATTACACTTTAGCCTGTTGAATTTTATTTTTAAATACTTTCAAATAAGATCAGCTCTGTACAGTAAACTATAAGAAAATAAGGCAGACTAGATACATAATGTTTAAATTTAGAGATCTCAACATTTAGCATTCATAGTTACCTTTTACATGAATGTTTAATGATAAGTTTCAAGATTTTTAGAGAATTTAAAAATCTTTAAACAAGAACTGAATTTTCTTAACAGCATCTTTTTGCTTTTTAATGTAAATAGACAAATACAAGATCTTTGTTTTGTTTAGTCAAAGTAGAATGCTAGAGGAAATTACCTAGCTGACTTTTTTGTAGCATCTGAGTCTGTTGATTTCAGGACACTTATTAGTTTGGTTTGACTTCTTGATTATATCTGGAAAACTAAAGCAATTAATTTCTTAAATTATTATCATTTCTTTGTAGCTATTGATGACCTTATGACTCCAGAGGAAAAAGATAAACTCTTCACTGCTATAGGTTATAGTGACAGCACCCACAACTTAACTTTACCTAAGCAGGTAATTAGTTAGGTGTCTTAAGAGGTGTTTTGTTTCATTTTATTATATTACCTTGAATTATGTAATTTATTGGCTTTTTAAGTAATTAATGAAAATATGTCATTATTAATTTCTACTTTAATTGTTAAATTCTTCAGGTCAGGCCTTATCAATTAAAATTCTCTCTTCAATTTTAGATTTAGTTGCTATAGAATGGGAGAATAATCTGATAAAAATGCCTTTCTGTAGTGTTAAACTGAGTCTTTAAAATTTTTTTATTGTGATATATAACATATGTATAGATACAGCATATTCAAAGTCAGAATGTACTCCTGCTTATTTGATTGATTAGAAAGGGAAAAGGTATGTAATTACTATTAGTGTCAAGATTTACAAAATTGCCACCATCATAGACACCCCTACATCTTCCCATCATTGCTTCTTCAACAATAACGGTTGTCATGATTTTTATGGTAACTGCGTCTTTGATGTCTTTTTGTTTTCTACTATAAACACTATGATTTTACTTTGAACATTTTTATCTTTCTGTAAAGGGCCTCATAAAATACGTATTCTTTTGTGTCTGGCTTTGTTGTTGTGAGATCATCCCCCCATTTATTTATTTATTTATTTATAAAAATTAGTTGCTCAAGACTATACAATGATCTTGACATATCATACATTTGATTCAAATGGGGTATGAATTCTCATTTTTCCATGTGTACAGATTGCAGGATCACATTGGTTATACAGCCACGTATATACATACAGCARTACTAGTGTCTGTTGTATTCTGCTGCCTTCCCCATCCCCCCTCTCTTCTCTCTACCCAATCTACTATGACACATTTCTCTATTTTTTTCTTTCCCCTCACACCATCATATATGTATTTTGTATAACAATGAGGGTCTCCTTCCATCTTCCGTGCAATTCCCCTTCTCCCTCCCATTGCCTCCCACCTCTCTTCCCTGTTTAGTGGTAATCTTCTTCTCATGCTCTTCCTCCCTACTCTGTTTTGAGTCATCCCCCCTTATATCAGAGAAGACATTTGGCATTTGTTTTTTAGGGATTGGCTAACTTCACTTAGTATAATCTGCTCTAATGCCATCCATTTCCCTGCAAATGCCATGATCTTGTTATTTTTAAATGCTGAGTAATATTCCATTGTGTATAAATGCCACATTTTTTTTTTTATCCATTTATCTATTGAAGGGCATCTAGGTTGGTTCCACAGTCTAGCTATTGTGAATTGTGCTGCTATGAACGTTGATGTAGCTGTGTCCCTGTAGTATGCTGTTTTTAGATATTTTGGGTATAGTCTGAAAAGGGGAATAGCTGGGTCAAGTGGTGATTCCATTCCCAATTTTCCAAGGAATCTCCATACTGCTTTCCAAATTGGCTGTACCAATTTGCAGTTCCACCAGCAATATACAAGTGTATCTTTTTCCCCACATCCTCGCCAGCACTTGTCATTGTTTGACTTCATAATGGCTGCCAATCTTACTGGAGTGAGATGGTATCTAGAGTGGTTTTAATTTGCATTTCTCTGATTGCTAGAGATGGTGAGCATTTTTTCATGTAATTGTTGATTGATTGTATATCCTCCTCTGAGAAGTGTCTGTTCAGATCCTTGGCCCATTTGTTGTTTGGGTTATATGTTTTAAAGTTGTTTAACTTTTTGAGTTCTTTGTATACTCTGGAGATTAGAACTCTATCTGAAGTGTGAGGGGTAAAAATTTGTTCCCAGGATGTAGGCTCCCTATTTACCTCACTTATTATTTCTCTTGCTGAGAGAAAACTTTTTAGTTTGAATACGTCCCATTTGTTGATTCTTGATTTTAACTCTTGTGCTAAAGGTGTCCTATTAAGGAATTTGGAGCCTGACCCCACGAGATGGAGATTAGGGCCAACTTTTTCTTCTATTGGTCTCTGGTTTGATTCCTAGCTCCTTGATCCATTTTGAGTTAACTTTTGTGCATGGTGAGATAAAGGGATTCAGTTTCATTTTGTTGCATATGGATTTCCAGTTCTCCCAGCACCATTTGTTGAAGATGCTATCCTTTTTCCATCGCATGCTTTTAGCACCTTTGTCTAATATAAGGTAGTTGTAGTTCTGTGTATTGGTCTCTGTGTCCTCTATTCTGTACCATTGGTCTACCTACCTGTTTTGGTACCAGTACCATGCTGTTTTTGTTACTATTGCCCTGTAGTATAGTTTAAAATTTGGTATCTCTATACCACCTGTTTCACTCTTCCTGCTTAGAATTGTTTTAGCTATTCTGGGTCTTTTATTTTATTTTTCCATATGAATTTCATGATTGCTCTTTCTTTTTCTGTGAGGAATGCCATTGGGATTTTGATTTGCATTGCATTAAACCTATAGAGTACTTTTGGTAATATGGCCATTTTAATGATATTAATTCTGCCTATCCATGAACAAGGTGTATCATTCCATCTTTTAAGGTCTTCTTCTATTTCTCTCTTTAGGGTTCTGTAGTTTTCGTTGTATAGGTCTTTCACCTCTTTTGTTAGGTTAATTCCCAAGTATTTTAATTTTTTTGAGGATATAGTGAATGGGGTGGTTGTCCTCATTTCCATTTCAGAGGATTTCTCACTGTTATACAGGAATGCCTTTGATTTATGTGTGTTAATTTTATATCCTGCCACTTTGCTGAATTCATTTACTAGATTTAGAAGTTTCTTGGTAGAACCTTTTGGGTCTGCTAGGTATAGGATTATGCCATACGCAAATAGTGCTAATATAAGTTCTTCTTTTCCTATCTTTATGCCTTTAATTTCTTTCGTCTGTCTAATTGCTCTGGCCAGTGTTTCGAGAACTATGTTGAATAGAAGTGATGAGAGAGGGCATCCCTGTCTTGTTCCAGATTTTAGAGGGAATGCCTTCAATTTTTCTCCGTTTAGAATGATGCTAGCCTGAGGCTTAGCATAAATAGCTTTTACAATGTTGAGGTAAGTTTCTGTTATCCCTAGTTTTTCTAGTGTTTTGAATATAAAGGGATGCTGTATTTGTTGAATGCTTTTTCTGTGTCTATTAAGATGATCGTATGGTTCTTATCTTTTAAGTCTATTGATGTGGTGAAT